GCATTCTTCTTCCTCAGCCTGCTACCACACACACACACACTCACACACACACACTCATACACAATTACACACACACACACTCACGCACACTCATACACAATTACTTACACACTCACTCATACACACACTCATACACAATCACACACACTCATACACAATTACACACGCACACTCATACACAATTACACACACTCACACACTCACACACATACACAATTACACAATACACACACTCATACACAATTACACACACTCACTCACACACACACAATTCACCACACACAAAGCATCATTCAATTACACACACTCATACACAATTACACACACACGCACACACTCATACACAATTACACACACTCACTCACACACACACAATTACACACACTCACACACTCACACACAATTACACACACTCACGCACACTCACACACAATCACACACACTCACACACTCACATACAATTACACACACGCTCACACTCATACACAATTACACACACTCACACAATCACACACACAATTACACACACTCACACACACAATCACACACTCACACACAATTAAGCATACACTCACACACTCACATCACACTCATACACAATTATACACACACATTCACACACTCACACACAATTACACTCACACACACATCCACACTCATACACAATTACACACACATGCTTTCTGTAAAACTTGAAACTACACAGCAAAATCCCTCAACTGTTGTAGTTCATTAAAGTTGATTGCTTATAAATATGAACTTTGGATCACTGTATAGACTGTTAAATTTGATTTCTTTTAAATTATTTTATTTTGTTTAACTTTATTTATCCATTTATTTATTTATTTATTTTAATTTGATCTGAGAGGGATAGAGTGAGAGAGAGAGAGAATGAGCGAGAGAGAAAGTGAGAAAGCAAGGAACCAGCAGTTAGCGTAATGGCTATGTCGCTGGACTCCCACGTAGTCGACCGTGGTTCGCGTCCCAGACCTGGTGGTTTGAAACTCATGCCAGGCGTGTGTGCGTGCGTGCCCAAGATCCCGAGAGGAGAATGGAGGAGAAGGGATTGCGGTGTGGCCAGGTTTGGGATTTGAACCGCATCTGGCCATGTGAGAATCTAGCACTTGAACCATGATGCCACCCACTGGCCCCCCCCCTTTTTTTTTTTTTTTTTTTTTTTTGAGGGTTTTTATACACAGTTACACACACTCACACACTCATACACAATTACACACACACTCACTCTCACACACTCACACAATTACACACACTCACACACTCGTACACAATTACACAAACACACTCATACACAATTACACACACATTCACTCACACTCACACAATTACACACACGCTCACTCACACACACTCATACACAATTACAAACACACTCACACACACAATTACACACACTCACACACATACAGTTACACACACGCTCACACTCATACACAATTACACACACTCACACACAATCACACACACAATTACACACACACAATCACACACTCACACACAATTAAGCACACACTTACACTCACACATCACACTCACACAATTATACACACTCACATTCACACACTCACACACACAATTACACTCACACACACATCCACACTCATACACAATTACACACACATGCTTTCTGTAAAACTTGAAACTACACAGCAAAATCCCTCAACTGTTGTAGTTCATTAAAGTTGATTGCTTATAAATATGAACTTTGGATCACTGTATAGACTGTTAAATTTGATTTCTTTTAAATTATTTTATTTTGTTTAACTTTATTTATCCATTTATTTATTTATTTATTTTAATTTGATCTGAGAGGGATAGAGTGAGAGAGAGAGAGAATGAGCGAGAGAGAAAGTGAGAAAGCAAGGAACCAGCAGTTAGCGTAATGGCTATGTCGCTGGACTCCCACGTAGGCGACCGTGGTTCGCGTCCCAGACCTGGTGGTTTGAAACTCATGCCAGGCGTGTGTGCGTGCGTGCCCAAGATCCCGAGAGGAGAATGGAGGAGAAGGGATTGCGGTGTGGCCAGGTTTGGGATTTGAACCGCATCTGGCCATGTGAGAATCTAGCACTTGAACCATGATGCCACCCACTGGCCCCCCTCTTTTTTTTTTTTTTTAAGATAGATTTTTTCCGGTCCAGCAGCAGATTGTGTAATGGTTACGTCACTGGACTCCCACATAGTTGACTGTGGTTCAAGTCCCAGATCCCACGACTTCAAACTCACATGGGGCACGTGTGCACGTGTGCACGTGTGCCCAAGATCCCAAGAGGAGAATGGAGGAGAAGGGATTGCAGTGTGGCCATCCCCCCTCTTTTTGTCTGTCTCTGTCTATCTGGCGAGCACACAGAAAAAGCGAAAAATAGGGATATTTACAGAAGAACATTCTCTAACTCCTAGGGTTACATCTGGGGTTAAATGACATCACTCACAGAATGTGTTTAGTAGGGGGCTGCAGGTGGCGTGGTGGCTAAAGGTGCTGAATTTTCTGGGACTAGCAGTTAGTGTAATGGCTATGTCGCTGGACTCCCACGTAGTCGACCGCGGTTTGTGTCCTGGACCCAGTAGCTTAAAACTCACGTCAGGCACGTGTGTGTGCATGCCCAAGATCCCGAGAGGAGAATGGAGGAGAAGGGATTGTGGCGTGACCATCC